TCAATATGCTTAAGTTATTAATGGGCCTGACATTTTATTTCACATATCGTGTGAGTTTGATATATAAAGTCACAAATATTTTTTAAACTTTTCATCTTTAGTAATTTTTTTCCCTCCCAAAATTGTGTGTTTTTTTATTATTTATTCATGTAAACAAATCTAAAAAATCAAAAATTAAAAATATTAAAAACTCATTTACTAAAGACACAAAAAAAAAAAATGACTTCTTTTTTTTTGGAGTGCTTTCTGGAATTTTTTTCAAATTTGTTAAAAAAAACTTACTTTTCTAGTCCATTTGAATGTAATTCAAAACTGTAAGATTTTTTGAGTATTTTTTAAAATGTTTATTAAAGATGAAAAAAAATTAATAAAAAAATTGCTAGAAAAAAGCTAAGTCGACACACCCACACTACCAAGGAATTATATGCAATTACTGTTAGAAATAGTTTTGGGAAAAACAAAATTTTTTTTGAACTTTGGTCTAATTTTTAGGTGAGACTCATGCACCAAAGTTAGCGGGTCTAAATGGTAATGTGTTCTATGCCACGTTGTGATTCACGTAGTATTTTTGGTTGTTCAAAATTATTATCGGGTGAATAAGAAATTAAAGTCAAAGTGAGCTCCATGAAAATTGTGTTTTGGTGGAATTTCCATTAAGATTTGAGTTAAAACTTGTCCACGTTGGTTTGGTGGGCAAACTTATGTGGGTTTATAAGGCATGAGTTTATAACTTGGGAAATGTCTTCAGGGACACCCCAAGTTTGTAGAAGGGAGAGGTTATGAGCAAATTGGGCTAGACCCATTGGACTAAAAAATAAACACGCACGCGATCAGTCAACATGGGCCTGGACACGTAGTGCGAGGTTAAGTTGGGTTTATCCAGCCTAATACTTATCTTTTTAAGTTAAAAACATTTGAATTTAATTTAATTTTTTGGTAAAATAAAATCTGTCCAGTTTAATTTCAATTTTTGAATTTGTTCAGGTTTCTATCTGTCCGAACAGATTCAGTTCAAATCCATATATGTTCAAAATTCAAACTGAACAGGTTCGTATCTGTTCATTTAAACCGAACAGGTCTGGTACTTGTTCAAACAGGTTTGCTACCTGTTTAGTTCAAACTGAAAGGCCACCATTCCATCTATAAATAGGCAGTCCCTCATTTGATTTTTTTCACTTAAATTTCCATCCTAAATTCTGCTATTGTACTCTCTTCATTTTGCTGCATTATTTTCCTGTGAGTAAGAGTGTAAACACAAAGTGTGTTAGTTGTATAAATAGTTTGTAGCGCTACTACTATTCACTGCTGATCATTTTATCTTGGAAGATAGACGTCCACAATCTGAAAGCACTGTACAGAGGACGAATCTGTCTTCAGGACACAATGTTAAACACTGGACTTGATCTAAAATTTGTTCGACAAATTAATAAGGTAAGTAACTAATTTACTTTTTTATTTTATTATTTTTTCTGTTTCAAATTTTGTTTTTGTTTTTGTAACAAAATAAAAATCTGTTTTATTTATTTATTTTATATTCTGGTTTGATTTTTGTAATCAAACAATCTCTCTCCTTTCCTTTATTTCTTCTGTATTCCGTTTATTATTAAATACTCAAACAGAATTTATTTTTTTTAAATACAATAAAGATTGTCCAACAATTACTTTTAAAAAATATGAAGATTATGCACACTTGAATCAAACCATAAAAGTCAAGTAAATTTGCTCTCCGTCTTCCCAACTGAAATGTGCAGTGACTTTTTTGGATCAAAAGCAAAAATAATTGAGTTCTCAAAAAAAAAAAAAATACAAAATTTTGTTATTCCACTTGTGGGGTCAATAGCTAGTGGGCCCCTTTACCGGGACAGAATTTTGTGGTCCACCTTATCTCTAGTTGGAGATTAAGATTACATCTTTCAATCCGTTTCATGGGCTCCTTTTTGTATCCCGTTTTAATAATTTGAACTGTTCACATTTTTGGATTCGTCGGGTACATTATCCGTGTAAAAAATCAAGTCGATCGTATAGCGGCAATTACATGTTCGAATCAGTTTTATATAAAAAAATAAATGGTGAAAAAAAAAGATTCATATAAAACTGATCGAACATATAGTTGTTGCTATCCATTCAACTTGATTTTTTACAGAAATAATGTACTTGACTAATCTTAAAATGTGAACGGTTTGAATTATCGAAACGAGACTCAAAAATAAACTCACTAAGTGGATTGGAGAGCCTAGTCTTAATCTCCAACTGAAGACAAGTTGGATCCAAATTGTAAATATTTCCAGAAGGGAAAATACATAGCAAGCATAAGGCCAAAGTTTCCAGGAGAGTTGGATTAAACCTACACCATTAGAAAAATGAAGAAATTCCACAAGGCTGCATGAATGAGAAGATATATAGGCGCGCACACACCCAAGCCAACCCAATCAATCTCCTAACTTGGTGGTAAAGAATGTCACATGTAGTCAAAGTGCGCTGCCAGTGACGGGTCAGAAAATTAAGTTGCAGGGAGCAATTATTAATTATAATTTATTATTTAAAATAAAATTATAATTAATATTAAGATAATAATAATTTTAAATAATGATCATAAAATTATTATTATTTTAATGTTGATCATATTTTTATATATATAATAAATTGTAACTAATAAGTGTCTCCTATAACTTAATTTTCTGATTCCGCCACTGAATAAGAACAAATCAAAATTTTATAATAGTGTGTAATAACTCGGTGTGGTGATATAAGTTTTTAATTTTAACACAAAAAATTATGGATTAAAGTTCCTAATTTTAGAAAATAAAAACACATCATTTATAGTACAAATTATTATAAAATCTATTTAATTTTTATTTGATAGAAAATATTAAAGAGATGATATTGCTTATCAATGATGTGTCTTGAATGGAAATTACTATATAGTCTTAGAGTACCATATGGCATTGCCTATGTGATGCACAAATCACGAGAAATCACAATCACATTAAGTAATTTGTCAACTACCTGAAAATAATGAGTTAATTATATTCAATCCATAAGATTTTTCACTACATAATTGGTTTAAACTATTACATAAACAATATCACATAGTGCTCCCAAAGTATCAAATAACTACTTATTGTGAACAATACAATAAATCATTAACCAAAAAAAATGTTAAGACTAAAAAACACATTTTGTACATGACCATAAAATAAAAATAAAAATAAATTCAAAATTGAAGGAGAAGGAATGTGACCCCTTAGGCCTTCTTTGGCTCTGCCCCTGCCTTTTAAATTCTCTTGAACGGTGGAAACCTTATCCAGTAGAAAGTCATTTCTCGTTTTTAGTAACTTAACCTTCGTTTGGGATGTGAATTGACATCTAATTTTTTTAACTATTTTAGCTTGAGATTAAAAAGTCTCGTTTGGGATGAGATTTTTAATTTTTTTTATATTTGTGAGAAAAAAAATGAAATAATTATAATTTGAATGCAACATGTTGTCTTACTATTTTTTAATATATTTTGTTTTTTTTTTTTGTGATTAAAATAGCCAAAAAAATATTATCCCAAAAAATATTATTCCAAACATAAGTGGTTGTCTAGCTAGAGTTTTCTTAAGAGCAATGTTATCCATAAGTAGATTTTTTTTTGAACTCTTAATAGATAAATTTGTTATTTAATAAATTTTATAATAACTCATGATGTTTTTCATTAAACACTATTACAAAAATATTACTAATTATTAATTTTCAATGACAGTTCAAAAATTGTCACAAAAATATCACTAATTATAAATTTTAACAACAGTTTAAAAAAATTGTCAAAAAAAACAATAATTTTTAACTTTCAGTGACAGTTTAAAAAATTCATCATAAAAAAAGGTCACTAATTATAATTCTTAGTGAGAATTTATAAAAATCGTAACAAAAAAAAATTACTAATTATTAATTTTTAACAACATATGTAAAAAATAGTCATAAAAAATTAATTTTACTAACGATTTTACAACAACTTATTTTTAAAAAGATTTCATAAAAATTAAATCAAATTGTTATGAACTATTAATAATTTATCATTTTCCTTTTATATAACGCAGCCAACATTTGTTAGTGGAGTTCATTGCGGGGTGAAATTTATTTATGTATAATATTTGTTACCTTAAAGAAAAAAACACTTTAATGGGGAGTAAGAATAAAACAACACTCTTTGGCCTCGTATTATCTACCTATAATGTTTTTGTCCCTGTAAAAATTCCTATAAAAAGACCCCACCCAAAAGACATTTCACAGTCCAAATCTTTGAGATTCCAGCAAAATGTTTTTGTCCCTGTAGAAATTCCTAGAAAAAAGACCCCACCACAAAAACATTTCACAATCCAAATCTTTGAGATTCCAGCAAAAGAAGAATCACATATGCAGTTCACATTCAGTCTTCCTTTTGATGAGATGAATAACTTTAATATGAGAAAGATGAGACCAGGCTGGATGCATGAGGTGCCCAATTACTGGGCATGATACTCGAGTTTCCATTATATATGTAGCTTTCTCTTCCCTCCTATCAATGGTGGCAGATAGAATGTTAAGATTGTGTGAATCTTGACAAGTACTAAATGCTACTTAAATTTGGAGCAAGGATATTTTTGATTTTTTGCACATGTTATCTATGTAACTTGTGTAAACTTTCAGATCATAGTGAAACCGCGACAATTGTTAACATATCCCTTGTATTCTTTGTATATACGCGTGATTTACAATTATTGTGCGTTCATAATTATTGTGCGTTTGTTCTTTGTTCTTCTCTATTTTCGTGTCTTAGGAATTACGTGTCTTAGGCATTGAGATTCCTAACATCCAGAGAGACCAACATAACAACTTACGAAAGTTCATGAAGTATAAATTAATCCATGACAAAATGGCCTGTATAACTTTGCTTGATACAGTGTTTTCCTGATAGATTTTCTCCCGTGACAGGGGGACTCACACACACACACACACACACACAAAATCTGTAGGACTTCACACAAAATCTGTAGGACTTCAGAAGGGAAAAAAGGTGCGAGTATGATCACATTACAAGGACAGAGAATAACTACTGAAGCAACATCCATAGTCAGCTCCATGTTCTATATTTGGAAGATCCTAACAATCATAATTGTTGTGAACCCTCAAAGTCAAAATATTCAGAAATACCTCATTTCATTGAATGTACGTGGAGATAAATAAGGTAGCAGCCTCATTTTACCAACAACCAACCATCTTCATAAACCAAGGACAGAGACAGAGAGGAGCTACTGTGATTCAATACTTCGTTTACTTTTATTATCAACGGTAATCTGTTGATCTGCAAAAGTGCTATATTGTATCTTAATGTTTTCCATAACTTTAAAGTAGTTGAGCAAGCTAAGAATAAAGAGGCAACAAAGGAAATTTGAATGTCTAGAGGCCCATTGTTTTGTCACCAAGAGAAAGTACACAAACATCAAATGCAAGCCATGAATGTATACATATTAACAAGTCAATGATACGATAAACTCATGCCGTTTATGGTAATTCCACAATCAAAATGCACAGCTCAATCAATTTTACTATTGTGGAAAGGATTAAGACAAGTATACAAGTTTGAACTTAGTTAGAAGCTTACTAACCTATACTGAGACAAAAGATTTTAAATTTCAGATCAGATGAAAATATAATAAATCACAATCATCTCTGTCCTGCAGCATTCTCTTGCTGCAATGCCCACATGCAAGCCCCATCTATTCTTCAAGGTTGCTCAAACTAAAAAGGCCTAGGAATAAAATCTTAACCCACAGTGCCAATATTGCTAACATTGAAACAAGAATGGAATCAAATGCAAGTAATGAAAGAGATGGATGAACACCAAGCCAAGGCTAAATTAGGTTCATAGCAGACAAAATGGATGTCACAATAGCTATAACATTTCCATCTGATACAATATTAAATGTCCCCAAACTAGCGTGCATCATTTTCGCCTTTTAGGGTATACGTCTTATTTCAGTTTCATAACAGCAAACACGATCCACTACAAGTCCAATAACCATGGTTCTGTTTTGTGTCATTAAAATAGTGCACATCCTTGGTTTTTTGACAGCATAGTCCTCCAAGCAGATTGGCATTGCCACACTCACAACATGATCAAACTGACTATGCGATTCCGGATTAAGCCATGTATCCAAATTCGTTGGAACAAAGGAAATCCTAAAATATGAAAATAGAACATGTCCAAACATCCAAGTGGCATTTCACTATACCAGAATTAAAATAATTATCACAACTGAGATTCAAGGTTGCATTTATACAATGTACAAGAAATCAAAATATTGGAGCCAAGAAAATGGAACGGACACCATTATTTAACTTACTCTGCCTAATTGCAAAAATAACCGAGCTGAATGCCAAAAATACAGATATATTACCTTTTGTAAAGCTTGCTTCCATCATGATATATTTCAGCTAATGCATCATACAGCAGGATGGTTACAGCTTCATAACAGATTGAACTTTTGGACCCATCTCTGGAAATCGATGAACTATTTTGTAACATGTTGTACTGGGAGGCCTGGGAGTGCTAGCTCCACGGACATCAGTGACTAGGTAAGAGAATAGAGTTGGGAAACAATGCAGATCCATTATTAGGAGCTCCTTGTATATTGAGAATAGAAGTGATCAAATTGTATATCTGTACATTCTCAAAAGATGGGACTTTTCGCCCCCTAGCAAACCGAGGACCATGGCCCATAAAGATAGTCCTCATTGAGAAGAATGCATTGTCATACCCATGTGCTCCTCCACATTCTGCCCTCTTAGATCCCTTCTGTTCCACCTTAAAACTCTCTTCAATCAACCCTATTATCGGTGGAATTCTATCACTTGCCGAGTAATGCAGCCGACTAGGCAGATCCTCTTTGAGGTAAACTTTCAATTGCTTTCCATTCTCAACTTTCCCAGAATCCAATCCTTCATTCATCTTTGCCACAACATCCGATGGAGAGACGCCTGATGGTGGGCGGATTGCGAGCAATGGAGTATAGGATTGAACCCAATCCTTCGGAATTTGAATCCATGGTGCTAAATCATCAAGAAAGATCAATTTTTTATCACATGTACCAACCATTCCATGATCACCCACCATAATTATAGTCACATCCTCAAAAACCCCTCTTTTCTCTAAACCCTGAATCAACCTCCCAATCATGTCATCAATTCTAGCAACTGCATCAGTGATTTGAGGATCATCAGGACCAACCTGATGGCCCTGATGATCCGGGTCCTCAAAATACAATGTCATAAACACAGGAATTTCATCATTTGGCAAATCAAAGTAGTTTAAAACCGTATCGACTCGCTCTTCGAAAGGCACAGAACCATCATAAAACTTACAGAAATTCTTAGGGCAAGTCCAGGAACCTTTGTTGACCTCAGAACCAGGCCAGAAATAGGTTGCAGCCTTCAAGCCATGGTTAACCACAGTCTCCCACAAGGGTTCACCCAACCACCACTTGGGTTCATGACTTCCCATATTGAAACCCTCACCAGTGTGTGGATCAACGAAATAATTGTTGATGATCCCATGAAAAGCAGGGTACAAACCAGTGACAATTGAGTAATGATTTGGGAATGTTAGAGTTGGGAACACAGAAATCAAACCCCTTTCGGCTTCGGTACCATTGTCGATCAAGCGATCGATATTGGGGGTTTGGGTCTTGAATTGGTACCCGAATCGAAACCCATCTGAGGAGACCAAGAGAACGACTGGGTGAGTGAGTTTGGTGAGTGGACGAGCGAGTTCGGCGATGGGTTCGGTGGTTTGATTGGGGCAAGAGTCGTGAGACTGGGGTGTGAAAGAAGAGTTGTGAGACTGGGGTGTGGAGGAGGAGGAGGAGAAGAAGAGGAAGGCGAAAGCGATGGCGGCGGAGAAGGCGATGCAGGTGACGAGGAGGAGAGAGATGAAGAGGACGGTGGTGGTGGTGGGTTTTGAAGGAGGAGGTGAAGGGTGGTCTGTGTTGAAGGTGAGAAGAGCAGTGGTTGGGTTTGGTGGGTCTTCTTCTTGAGTTGGAACTGGCATGGGCTTGTTGTCTGGATCTGAACTCATGTCGAGAGAGAGAGAGCTTGGTGTTGTGCTGCAATGGGTTCAGAGAATTGTGATTCTGTGATCTGGGTTGTGCTTTGTTGTTGAGAGAGAGAGAGAGAGGAAGGGATAATGAAGGCAAATTCTAGACAGAGGAGACGGATTGCAGTGAGATGGAAGGAAGGGGTTGCTGGGCGAGAACTGAAAGGCTGTGTGTGTTTAGATTGTAAAATACGGATAATTATTAAGCGGGTGTTTGGGACGTAGGTTTTTTTTTTTTTTTTTTAAGATTTTTTTAGTTGTATGGTATGATTGGAAGAAAAAAAAAATTGTATTTGGAAAAATAGTTAAATTTTTTTGTGATTGAATGTGATATTTGTGAGATAAAAAATGAAATGATTACGAAGTTTAATGTGATATTATGTTTGAATTGGTTTTTTTTAGTTTTGTAACAAATTTGTCTTTTAGTAAAAAAAATAAAAAATAAAAAACCAAAAACCAAATTTCCCAAACAGCGCCTAAGTAATTTCAGAATATAGACACGTAATATTTTATAATAGGATAAATTATAAATACATTTCTTAAGGTTTGCTTAAAATATAAATTATTCCTGTAATTTGAAAAATTACAAATACCTCATTGTTAGAATTTTTTATTTAACAGAATTAATTAAAAAAATAAAATTTTCAACTGTTCACCTATACAATAACAGAATTATCTAAATTATTAATTTAAATAAAATTTTAATATTATTAAAAACTATTAATTAATTTGATAATTTATTAATAAAATGAACTATTTATTATGAAATTAGAAATCTAAGAGGCATAATGTAATTTCTAGAACTACAGAGATAATTTGTAATTTAAGTAAATCTCAGAAGATGTGTTTATAATTTATCCTTTATAATATTGTAATTGATAAAGAAGGTAGATAAGTACAATATTATATTGGATGATTAAGAATATAAAGAGGCATATTAAATAATAATTGATTAAAGGGAAATTTACATACGAGTCTCATTTTGTGAACTTATAATCCATTAAGTCCTAAATAAAATTATTTACTCTTTCAAGTCCCATTAATTTTTAATAGCCCAATTTATTCTTCCAAGACCTCCTCATAGCTGCCAAACATCATTGTTGTCTTCATTCTCTCTCTCTTCACAGTTGCAATTTAAAGTTCTACGCAACTTCAGTTCGACGAATCCATGCACAAGAATCACAGTAGCCAAGCTCATGGACAATTCATGGTTCAAGAAAGGATTCAAACAAATTGAAGTCCCATTGCCCATTCAAGACGAACACGACAACACACCTCGCAGCCTTCTAGACTTCAACGAAGCATTTGAATTCGATTCAAAAATCATAGAAAAGAAGAAAGGAGAGGCGACAATAAGTTCCATGATCATGAAGCCGACTTGCATGAATGCCTTTGATATCATCTCTCTTACAAGGATTTGATCTCTCGGGCTTGTTTGAGAATGACAACGATCGAAATCCAAATCTGGATCCATTTCGGATCGCCTGTGAAACCTACTTAAGTTCCACCAAATTGAACCAAGAATAGGTCAAGAAGTACGCAGATCACACCAGGGCTTCGAATCGAACCCCAAATTGCAACCTTCCAAGTCAAAAAATTCACCAGATTTGAAATTGTAACCCTATGTACTTGACTACATTGTTCTTTTGAATTTTAATTTGAAATTGAGAACATTATCAGTTTATAATATTCTCAATTTTAATCGTGAAAAAAATTGAGAAATTTCTCAATCAATATTCTCCTTTATTGAGATTGAGAAACTCAATAAAAGGAGAATATCAATAAAAGGAGATTGAGAAATTTCTCCTTTTATTGAGACATCAAAACTTCTCAATCAATCTCTCCTTTTATTGAGATTGAGAAATTTTTCAATCAAAAAAACTCAAGAAATTCATGTGGGATTCAATCAAATGTATTGAAGGGAATATTGAAATTTTGATATCCCTCCAAAATTTTTGCTCTCCTTTCAATCAAATTATTTGAATTAAAATCATATGGAGGGAATATTAAATATTTGATTTCATCTTCCAAAATTGAAATTAATAATATTTTAAAATATATTATTATATTTTTCAGTAAAAAAAATATTAGGACAAATATTTAAGATAATTTAATATTTTTATTATTTTTAATTTATAATTTTATTACTTATATTTTTATTTAAATATAATTTTAATATATTTATTACGTCACGATTTGATTCCGGTTCAACCCGACGATTGAACTGGTGACCCATCCACCCAATCTCTTTTTCAATTCTCCCACCGGTCCGATTTTTAAAATATTGAGATGAATAATTTCCCGTAAAATACGTTGTTTGACGGTATAGTCCGAGCATCGGTCTGATGGTGGTTTCCATTGTACGGTCAGGATTTGTTGTTGTATATTTTCTTCCTCGGTAAATTACACTGACACCTTTTAGGTTTATATCCACTCACGTTTGAAAATTATCTCTTTCTTAAAGGTTTAAAACTTGCATTAGGCCTGGTTTGGGACTTTGCTTGTTTTTGATTTTTCAAAAATATTTTTGAGAAAATTTTATTTTATTATTTTTCATATTTTATTATTTTTATTAATTTTTTTTAATATTTAAAGTATTTTTTTTTTAATTTTTAGGCATATCCAATATAAATACACATAAAAAGTATAATTTTTGTATAAAAAATCTTTTAAAATTCACTAAATATAAAAAATATAAGAAAATACGAGAATTCAATATATTTTTCGTATTTTTATGTATTTACTAATTTTTAAAAATATTTTTTCACAAATATTTTAGTTTTTAAATACATCTAAGTAATATACATTTAAAAAAGTAAAAAAATATTTAAAATTTTAAAAATATTCACTAAAAATAAAAAATACGAAGAATAAAAAAATCATTTTTCAAAATTTTTTTATAAAAAACTCAAACCAAACACAAACAAGCTCTGTTTGAGAAGTGGGTTGCCTTTTTGGCTTTCTGACTATTTTAGCCTGGGGCTAAAAAGTCTGGTTTGGGAAGGACTTTTGACTTTTTTGTAAGAGAAATAATGTAATGATTATGGACTGAATGTGATATTTTGTCTTATTGAACTAAAATGTCTATTTTATTTTTTGTGAATATTTTAGCCAAAAAAACCTCTAAACCAACTTTCCAAACGGAGCTAAAGTGAGTTAGTTTTTTGATTTTTTTGATTATTTTAGTTTGAAGTTAGAAAGTTTAGTTTGAGAAGAACTTTTAATTTTTTAAATTTTTTTGTGAAAGAAAAAATATAATAATTATGTTAAAAATATTCACTAAAAATAAAAAATACGAAGAATAAAAAAATCATTTTTCAAAATTTTTTTATAAAAAACTCAAACCAAACACAAACAAGCTCCGTTTGAGAAGTGGGTTGCCTTTTTGACTTTCTGACTATTTTAGCCTGGGGCTAAAAAGTCTGGTTTGGGAAGAACTTTTGACTTTTTTGTGAGAGAAATAATGTAATAAATATGGACTGAATGTGATATTTTGTCTTATTGAACTAAAATGTCTATTTTATTTTTTGTGAATATTTTAGCCAAAAAAGCCTCTAAACCAACTTTCCAAACGGAGCTACAATAATTTTAACTTAAAAGTTAAAATATTATTAAAAAAATTAAAAACCTTATAACTTATATGAAAATATCAAAGATTCTTTTTTTTTTTTTCTATTTTTTAAACATCTTTTTGTAAAAAATTAAAATATCATTTCAAACCTATAAATTTTTTTACCTCATATTTTAATCAAAATATTAAAAAATTATTAAAATAACTTATTTCTAAACGAGATCTTAGTTAACTATTAAGTCAACTAATGAAAAATACTTAATATAAGTAATTAATTGTTTAAAATACTTATTTTATCCTTATTTGTCATATTATTGTCTCTCTCTAATCTCTTTTTTAAAAAATAAACCAAACCCTGTACAACCTTTGTCACTAGTATCAACCCTCTCTATCTTCAAACACCACGCAAGGTAAATCATAAACAAAATAATTAATACTATGTAATTTAGAAAGGTGGTTAAAAGTTAATTTTTTAATTTCTTTGACTTTTTTTACCGTTTTATGTGAGAGATAATGAGACTCAAAATAGGTTAAAAACTAACTTTTGACTTTTTTTGTGTGTTGTCATAACACTCCTATAATAGATCATAACCAAATATCACAATTGGAGCATATAAAATTTTCTTAAACAGTAAATTATTTGTCAATTATATATAGATACATCAAAATAAGAAAAAGCTTAGTAAATTAGTGAAAAAATTTATAATTTTAATTATTAATATTTATAAAGCCTATCACTTTTTTTGTAATATATTTTCTAACGTACCACTAGTGTGTAATTTCTCTAAAAAGTTTTTATATATTACCTATATATAAAATTGATAAACAATTTACTGTTTATAAAATTTTATATGCTTGATAATCTTATATATATATATATATTTCATTTCCTAAATTTTAATAAAGTTATATATACGTATACATATATTTTCATATATACAGAAGCTGTGTATTCCCATCTCGATGGGAGGTAGTAACGGTGAAAGGCAGGAAGTGTAGTTATAGTGGAGGAGGGAAGTAGGGCTGCTCGCGGGTCGGTTTTGACCGGGTGCGGGGTCAAACCCGACCCGACCCGCACTTATGCGGTTGGGGAAAAATGGATCCACAACCGCCCGCAATGCGGTTTGCGGTTTGTGCGGACGGGTGCGGTTCGGTTTGCGGTTTAGTTTTTTTATTTTTTTTTTAACTTAAGCAAATTTGATATTTTTTGTTACTTTCTAAACATTTTTTTTTTTTTAAGAAGAGTTTTAAATTAAATTACAAGATATACAATTCATGATTATAATAAATAGTCCACATGTTAGATAAGACGATATGGAACCATGCTTGAGGATAGTAATTAATCTTCCTCCTTAGCTTGCAAAAACAAATCCTTAAAAGTCAAACTAGTAACACCAATTTAAATATGCAAAAACAAATCCTTAAAAGTCAAACTAGTAACACTAATTTTAATAGTGGATTAATCTTCACTGTTTAGTTTTTAATAAGCAATAATGTGATAATAGAATGACAATTCAAAATATCATATTTAACTGTGTCTACTAGACTAATGGAATATAATGATTTTTTTTTATATATATAAACAAAAGTCAAATTAGTAACACTAATTTAAATATCA